AAGTTCTCCCCAAGCGAGCTCAATGGGCCGAATGGCCTCCTCTCATTTGTATAGTTCTTATGTTCTTAATACAAGGCTGGAGTAAAGGCTTCTGAGAGTTTTACTTAGACAGAAATGTCTAAATCTGAAGGCAGAAGGAAAAATGATTGGTTCATAGAGATAACCAATCAGATTGTAGTGGAGGTGGGTCCAAGCAACTAGAGGAGGCAAGACCAAAACATTTGACTGGTTGGTCCTGCCTCCACAAGTTGCTGGGACCCACCTCCTCTACAATCTGATTGGTTGTCTCTCTAAGCCAATCATTTTTCTTTCTGCCCACAGGACATATTTGTCTAAATAAAACTCCCGCAAATGGTGTAAAAAGCAGATATATGTCTGTGAGAATAACTTGTTGAGTACTTTGAAAAACAGCAGATCTCACAACCTCCATGATTATTTCTTTTGGATTAACTGCAATTTCCTCCATCCCAGTGGATGCACAGAAGGGGAACATGTTTCATCCTCATCGCAAAGACCTAAGGATTATGGATTCAATCACACCCAACCACATCCATAAGAATTTATCTACAAGAATTTGCTTCTACTGTCACTTGTGACTGTGCAGAGGGACCCTCTTGAGTGTTCCCAGGGGAAATTGTACTTGGAGGTCTGAATTTTTACACATAATTGAATTGCCTCTACATCTGTGGTACAGTAGTTGTTCTGTGGCCTCTAAAGTCCAACATGCATGGGTTTAACCAGCCCAGTGCGCAGCCCTGTGCTTCAGTATCCCACCCACACAGATAGGCAACTATCGTTGTTACACTGAGTAAGGAGCATCTGTTCCATCCACACTCTCCAGACTGGCCTGCATTCCAGCCTCCACACAACTTTCAAAACAAATCTGTGCCCTTGTTTCCTATCTTATTATTTACTTAAATTAACATGATAAACTCTCTCAGCGCATAATCAAAACAGCATCCCCGCTTGATATAACCCCGGGACACCAAATTTTTCAAAGATCAGCCATCACTGGTTTTATTTTTCTGCTTGAAGATAATAATTATATTCCTCTCATTACAGAAATGAATGCGTCCCCAGCGGGTCCCCCTAGCACAGCATCTCAGGGATGTGGGAAAATGAAGTCACTGTGGGAGACAGAATCTTCCACATCCCCTCAAATCTCACAATACCTGCAAAATGTATCAAATGTGCAACAAAGTTAATATTAATATAATTGAAACCAAGTGTCCACCAGGTTGCATGAAAGCTCTCAATAAGCAGGCGATCCAATGTGAGTCCTGGCTCTCTCTCTCCGCCTGTCGCTCTCGTGTCTCTGACGTGTCTTGCGGCTTCGTTGTCACCACGTCTGGGAGGGATTAGTTACCTCTTAACAAAATGACTTTGCCTGCGGAAAAGGCGAAGGTTGGGGTACTCATGTGAAATTAGGGCACTGGTAAATACATGCTTATACACAATGACACCTTTCACATGAATTTGGATTTCAGTCCGGAAAGAAAAATCAATGTACTATAAAATATAACCCTTAACCTGGATTTGGGATAAGCAAATTATTATTCAGTCTCCATTCAGTTCAGTATTATTTAAGTGAAACAAACTGTGGTTGTTAAGTTCACACTTTATTTTAAAAGGACAGGTTAGTCTCCGTAGGACCCTTTGCCTACCAAAATAGAGGGATGGGGAAAAAAATAACATTATGGTGGTGATGTATCACCTTGGTGAAGAAAAACATACAAAGCCTGCTCTTCTGGACATTTTAAGTGTCTCTGCACAGACAAGAGAGTGAAGGACATCAGAAAGGCCGGAAGGATGAGCCTCAGCAAAATACACCACAGAATATACAGCTAGTGAGCAGTACAGGCAACATGACATCATAAACAATGAAAAAAAACATTGCTGTGATTATTTAACAGCTTTAAATAATGAACTAAATGACAACGATTCACTGCCTTAAAGTGATGTGCATAAAATAGAATATTGCAGTGTATGATAGTTTTTCCCTTTTTTACATGGTGCTATGTGTTTCTGTTTTTCGTTACGTTCCAGAGAGTTCACCCCCCCTCCCAATTTCCTCCCAGTATTTCCCCTTCGATCCGGTCCCTGTCTTTGGCGTTTGTCTCTGGTCTCCAGCTTCAGAAGACCTTCAGAAGATGGTCGACCTGGACAATCTGCCAGCATTGCCTTGCTCCTGGGTTGATTTCTGAGCTCATACCTTTCCATTTACTTCTTGGTTATGGATTATTGTGGATTCTAGATTTTCTCGTAGCCCTTTTGATTTGGTATCTGTCCTTTTGTGATTTCTGTACCTATTATACGCTGATGATTTCACCTATTCCTGTTGGACTTCTGCATTGTGGCTAGTTAGAGAATTTGGGAAGTTGTTCATATTTTTGTTAGATCTTGATTCCGGTCATGAAATTTTGTGAGTTCACTTTCGCTTTTACAGTATTTCTCATTCACTCAATGAATTGTTTTTTCCATACACATTATTTTTCTAGGTTTTTCTATCCACATTCACCCACTTCTTTCTGTTGCAATTCAACCCTGGGGGGGGGGGTGTTTCACGAAAAACTTGTTGGATTTAAAGTAGTCTGGGCTAAATGGACTTTATCGTCATTAATTTACATTTAGCTCAGACTAACTTAAATCCAACAAGTTATCCAGCTAAGCAAGAAATCCTGCATCGTGGAACACACTCCAGGTCATATTATTTTGATTAAAAGGAGCTTACTTACAGAAGGACAAGTTTTGATTCACTCAACAATATTATGTGAGTGCCAATATAATGAGCTGGAACCACTGGTGCATTTGCTTTAGGTTATGAATCTAGGGTTAGGGTTAGAATTAACTTCAGACTGTGGATTAAAGCTCAGTCAAAAGAGTCAAGTGTTTATTCAAGCATCAACATCATCCATCCATTTTGTCTAACTAGACAGGGTCACAAAGAGCTTGAATACTATCCCAGAAAGCGCAGGCATTGAGGCAGGGAGCAATGTAGTCAGGATGCCATTCCACAGAAGGCATGCTCACACAAAGGACCAATTTTAAGACATCAATTCACCAACTGCACAGATGGAAGTAGCCAACACAAACAAAGGGATAATATGGAAAAGCCACACACAGATACACACTCACAGCCAGGACAACTCACAGCTAAAATGTTAGAAGTGTGACAGGGCAGCGCTGCTCATTTAGCAAGTACCTGGCAACCCTATCAGCCATATGGACGAATATACCTGGACGAATGCTGAGCCACAATAAAGACAACAAAACAACACTTTAGGCAAAAATTCTACATAAAACCTGAGCTTTATATATTATTTTATTAAATTATATTCACAGAATTCCCTGAAGAACGTACAATGCCACTATTCATGAATTTGTCTATAAGCACAATAAAGATCGTTAAGTACACCATAAGCACCTTGCTGTAGAATTCATTGGTGAAGTCATGGGGCAAGTGGTTATCATAGCAAAATCAAAACATGACAACAGATACTGAATAAATGGTGCATATTTTCACATAAGGAAATGAATGCTATGGACTTGTGAGCTGCTATGGTGTATCCAGGAAATCATTATTTTGTGAGTAAGGCAAGGTGGTTTCAGGTTATATTTTTACAAAGCAGATATGTTTTGCAAAGATATAAGCGCTGTGCTCTAAGAGCGACCTAATCTAGAAAGCAACAACGTCTCTCAAGGGCAGCTCATTTACCTTCAACCTGATGCATGTGCATGGTTTTGCTGGATACAACAGTAATGATAATCTGGCAAACAGGTGACAGTAATGGAAGCAGTACAAAACAGTGCCGTGTCCAATCATACAGGCAACAATAATATGTAATATTTTGCACCAATATTCTAGATTAAATAGTAGAAGTGAATTAGCATTGATATCCATCGTATTTAATAAGGTCAGGAAGTAAAAAACGTAAACTTATTATGTGATACTGCTAGCAGCAGTATCATCGCCCCTTTCTACAGGAAAGCAGTTATAGAGGATGGATGGAACGATAATGGCATAGTTTTCATAATTGTGAACTGGACGAAAGGTCTTTTCTGTAAAAAGTTCATACGTAAAAAGGTTTCAGCCCGTCTAACATTAAGCGAGCGTTTCCCTCAGATACTGCGCTTAGATGTGGAGCCATATGTTTTACCTCTTAACCTCGCTAATCTGTTTAGTTTGTGATTTTTGCAATGGAATTATTCCTATATATTCAGAACTTCGTACTGACCACAAAACTAAGCAGAGGTAACATAATTACTTAAGTTTATAGAAAACGTCAGTGTGGATTACAGAAATGTGCGGTATTGTACCTTCGGCCATCGATTAATAGTGTCTCGAAATATTTTGCACATTATTCTTTACGCTTCTTCCTGGTTACTGCTTTCTCTGGGTAGTGTAGTTTATAGGTTTCGATTTCACCTTTCGCGAATTACTGCCGTTGTCAGTAAAAGAAATACAACACCCAGAGGGCGTTGCGGATCCATGCCGGTTCTAGTTGGAATCACGAAGTAGCGTACACTTCAGCAAGTTTCAGGCGGCATTTCGTGGGTTGAATGTGAGTTAACAAATACTAATATCTACACACTGATGATATATTTTTAATTTCTTGCGTTTCTCCATGGTCATACGCGTTTGCCAAAAGTGGTGTCGAAAGTAAACTACTCGAAGAAGCTAGCTGCCTTTGTAGAGGATGATGACTACTGCTTGTAACAGCTAAAATTGCTGGTATGATCTGTAAAAAAAAGTATAATTTGCAGTTATTTTGGGAAATGTACACATTCCACGCATTACGTAATATAATTATACAGTTTAATATTGTTTTCTTCAGGTGGCTGTAAGTTTGGGGCCTTTGCTACCTGTTCTAGGCTAGCTGTGCTCCATCTCCGTATGGTTAACATTACTTGACTTTCAGATATGTTTATTTCTTTATATTTTGTGTGGATGTCATTAAAATTTTGAGGCAAATGCGGAAAACACCATAAATATACGTATAATAATGCATTGTTTTGGCAACACCTTGTTTCATCAAGCATGACATATAGCCTAATTAAAAAGTGCAAAGGGTCATGCCCTGCTGTACTGACGTCAAATTCACACGAAATATTACAGTAAATATGAGCTATAAGCTTTTTAAACATTTTTTTTTCTTAAAATGGAACTGGAAATTGTGTTTATCCTGAAAAAGATTCTAATTCTCACTCGGTTTTTTCCCGTTTTGTGATTCCCCGATATCCTGGTATGTAAAATATACTGACCTGTGTTTCCCAGAGTACGGCTCACGTACCTTGTACATCCCTACCGCTTAGGGGTGTTACAGTTCAATTTTCAGGTTTATTTATTTATAACTATTATTAGTCTCTTTCAGACCGAGGTTCCCCGGCTGCGTGAGTCTGGGATCGATGGTTCCGCCGCGGCTCACGGGCGCCCTGCGCTCCTTCTCCAACGTCAGCAAGCAGGATGACTGCATGGTGGAAGCCTACGATCTGAAGGCAAGTACTTAATCGGGGTTTTCCTGCTCAAGCCACACAAAAGCATGCATTTGTTTCACATGTCTTGCCGTTATTTTCCAGTATTCCTTTCCACTAGTAGTATTTTTTTGTTTTAAATTATTTATTCTATTAATTTTCTTCTGTAATCTTTGATTCCACTTCTGTGCTGTTTGCCTCTCATTAGACCAGTTTCTTCTGTCACCTTTAACCACAACCGGCCATGTATTTATGTATTATGTAAAGAAAACGAGACTCTGAGAAACTTCACAATCTCCAGCAGATAGGTACCCACAAACTACTGCTTATTAACATTACCTTGCTATTATTATTGTTATTGTTATTATTGTTATTTTCATTAGTAGTAGTGGTGGAAGTATTTTGTTTGTTTGTTTATTAATTACTTAATTAATAATGAGCTGACATTGTGTCCCGAATGTTGTGCTGTCTTAGCCCCGCCCTCTTGGGACAGGCTCCAGATCCCCCAGGACCCTGTAATAATGGATGTAGGAAGGATGTATAATTATTATTATTATTAATATCATTATTATCAATAGATTTTCAGAACTCACTGAATGGAGAAAGTGATTGTGTTTTTATGTTTTTAGTTAGAATAATGTAGCTACAGTTTACAAGTTAATTAGCCCGAGGTTTAAGAATACAGTAAGAATTCACCTGTTAGATCAGTGCCCGGATCTGGGGTTGAGTACAGATGATGATACAGCACTGAATTAGCCATTTTATTCCAGTCATTGGCTTAATCGAATTTTCATTTTTCATGTTTGCTCCCTGTATTGATGGCTGACTACGTAGAATGTGGCTTACCATGTTTCTTTTCTGATTGTAAACTTCCAATTTTTAATGTTTAATTCCTGGACTGGTCAGAATATCTTATTGATCAAGGCCTTAGAATGAAATAATTTTTAAAGCAAATTACACCATTTAAATGTCATTGAAATTAATTGCAGCTGGACAGCCTTTTGGGACAAAAAAACACAGCAGCATGAAAAATGTAACTAAGAAATGAAAGTATAATTTTGTATTTGCTGGCTCTTTTCCAGTGAATCATGGTCTTGCTGACTGTGACAGGTCTGTGACTTGGCACAGACTAGCCTTGATATGATGGCTGCCCATTGTGGCGTCTGCTTGTTGATGGTTTTGGCTGAGTTGTACCATTGATGATGCATTGCTGGAGGAAGAGCATCAGGTGCAAGGGTGTAGATTTGGTTATGGACAGTAGGGACATATCCCTACCAATATTGTACGAATACTGTGTGTTATTTTGGGGATGGGGGGTGGTTGGCACTGATTTTATTCCTACCAATGCTGAAATGAATCCTGCACCCGTTATCATGTGCTTGCAGAGATATTGAGACAAATAGGGAATATTTATTCGTAGAGAGCTGTTGTTTAAGATGTTAATGTTCCTGTTTTCACTGATGAAAAAAGGCATTGAATTGTGCAGATTAGTGTGGTTGCATTGCGCGTTGTCTGCCACTGTGGGCTAAGACGCTGGGCGTGTGATCACAAAGTCGCAGGTTCAAATCCAAGGGACGGCTGAATGATTTCAAAGTTAGGCTGAGAAAGGTAACCCTCAATTGTTCTGACCCTGCTTTCTCAAAGATGCGCGTTGCGTTGGGTGAAAAGCGTATGCTATATAAATAAAACGTAGTGTAAACGTAGTGAAAATCACTCTTCTGTTTAACTTGCAGTGGTTAGAGTTCAACAGCATTGAATATTCACAGGAGATTTAGGTTCTGTTTTGTATGTGCCTTGATTTGGTAGTCTTCAATCCTGGGTTATCAGAACTCTACGGGGCGCTGACATCTATATATATGAAAAAAATAAATAATGATGGAGTTAAACCTGCTTTGTGTTTGTGCAGCATCAGCAGCTGCAGGCCGTTCTTAGAGTAACTCCACATCCTATTAGGCTTTCTGATGGCAGATTATTCTCGTGCATTTTGGTTCTGTTAGCAGCGTGCGGTGATGCCACTGGGAATTATTCTCCCGCTTTCGTTTTCTTAGCAGTGAGCGGCAAGGCAGTTGGGGGGGGGGGAATGTGCTTAGGGCTGCAACCCCAAGTAACCCCAGTTGAGATTCCTGCTTGCCTTGGCAAGCAGCGATCGTACTGGGCACAGGTAACGGAAGGCCAATTAAGAGACAGCTGGGCAGAGGTGGCGTTAGAGCCGTAAATGGAGAACATGCCAGGCAGAGCTGGAGAGACGGCAGTCTGAGACGCGCTGAAAGGCTGCTCCCTGGATGGGACCCTCAGCTCTCCCATTAACGGGAGTGCTGGTGTATCAGCAGAAGGCTTGTGGAGGGTGCAGGCAGGCAGCAGTTGGGATAATTTTGTGGTATTTATCACTCCTGTTCCTCCTACAATGATGACAGCTTCCCAATATAAAAGCAGCAGTCCATCTCTCTCCAGGGGTACTTTCACTCGCTGACCGTAACAGGGTCCACATTAATCATGGCCGTATGCATCCTCTTGGTCTGGTTGGAGGTACTCTAAGATTTGCTGGTTTTGGGTTGTGGTTGTGTTCTTAAAGTGGGGGGGGGGGGCATTTTTCCTCAATCAGGCGTCCTCTTTTAAGAATTTAAGCATTTTAAGCTGTGGGCTTGCTGAAACCCCGCCATCAGCTGTTCTGTGCGGTGTGCACTCGCTGAGTCGTGCGGTAAAGGCAGCACAAAGGGAAGAGAGGCTTTCTCCTCCTCCGTCTGCATGGTGGTGGGATGTGCAGCGGCTGGTGCCTGTTCTTTGCTCCCAAACACCCCCCCCCCCCGACTCTTACATTAGGAATTGCCCCCCTAAACCTCACTTTTGGCTCTTTTAGGCCTGGACTGTTGAGATAAAATCATGCCGTCGACCACCAGGGTGATGGATTTCCGGGGCACTGAGAGGCTTTAGTTTCAGCCGATCACATTTTTGACGAGCCCCCGTCTCTTACCATTTCATCTAATCTAAATGCATCAGCACACCGGTGCCACTTGTGTGTGTGTGTGTTTTTTTCCCCCTTGTCAGCTGCCACGGTGACGTTCTAAATGTACTTTTGTGCCTTCTTTCAGGCCAAGCGGCTGAAGAGGCAGGAGCTGTTTTCCAAGGAAGGCCTGACCTGGAAGAAGGTTGTGCAGTTCTTCAACCAGCACCTGGAGAAGAGTGCGCAGCAGACCGCTTCTGGGGAGCTGAGGAATGTCCTGCAGGCTGCCCAGCAGATAGGTAGTTAGCGTGTTTCGCCTGGTCGGATTTAAACATAAGGGCCTCTTTTGTGGCCATACAGAGATCGGTTCCTTCAACAAATGCTCTTAACTTCTAAAGGATGGTTCTAGCACTGTCATGGGAATTCTGCCATTCTAGACATGTTTCCAGTTAAAAGTTCAAAACATTTAAAGGGCTACAAAAATTTGTATTCAAAAGGTTGAATACCTTGTGGCAGCCAAGTCCCAATTTACTCCCACAGCCTGCTCTCCTAAAGCATGTCCCGTTGCCTTGGAAACAGATTGACGCATTTCATATGTGGCTACACTTGTTGTGAGGTCTGATTATCTCCTGTGGAGCTTAAGGCAGAATTAAGGTGTCTCAATACAACCTACTCCCCACCGTGGGGAGGTGGGTAATCGACTTTCTCTCCCTCTGAAGTAAACATGTGCCACTACTAGGGAGAAACTAAGTTGAAATCTGGCCAAATCAGAGTTCTGTGTCAGCTGCAATAGGGCTCTCATCAGCTTTGCATTGTAACAACTCATCTCTTTAGTGTAACGGGAAAAAAAGTCCGCATCAGGATAATTTGTTGAATGTGGGCTTGATGCACAAGCTCAGCCTCTGTTTCCTGTAAGCTTATTATTTTATTGCCTCTTATTGAGTGATGCATAGATTTCTTATTCGCTCCATCCAAAAAGATCTAGGTTTTGTGTTATCAATAGGATTGACTGGTCCTGGAAATACCTGGGAACAATTTGGTTTCCGGTCAATGACAATGTATCACGTCATCAGTATTTATCAACGTATTGTTTATATGGGGCGGAGGATTTCCAGGTGAAACTCTTAGCTAATGCAGGGGTCTCCAACTCCGGTCCTGGAGAGCTACCGTCCAGTAGGTTTTCTATCATACCCAGCTTCTGATGAGCCACACCTGTTCTCATTAAGTGTTTCTTTATCTAGTTGCGGTGCAAGGTGGTAGGCTCACATCTTTCTGAATATATGGGGGGGGCTATTTTCCATCCAAGCTCGATTTATCGCTTGACCCATGAATGACATATAGGACCTCATCACGCTGCTCATTGCCAGCTCTCTTTGAAGCTATCATGTGTAGATAAATGAGCAAACAAATTCCCGTGACCCCTCTGCCCCCAACTCACTCTGTTTGTGGCAGGCTGACCAGCAAAGATCCTGACGATGGATATCGCAGCAGTGATAAAATAAGCAAATCAAATTTCACTCAGACAGGTCCCATCCCATCTAGATTATAGCTGAAACAACCCAGAAACTGCCATGTTTCTAATGAGGTAAACAGATGAAAAAACTCAGCCGGCCACAATGTGAATTTCTGTGAATCTCGGAACAAGTTAGATGTGTTATGTTCATATCACTGCATGTTGCATTTAAACATAGCTAAGTAAAATCACAGCATATGGAAAGTAATATCTTTCGGCACCATTGACCACTGTAGGGTTCGCTTGCTAGACTCTCAGTTCTGCGATCTCTAGGTTTTTGGCAGTAAGATGTTGTTTTGTGTGAAATGTCATACATTGAGTGAGCTGGACTCGATAAGATCTGAAGCGAAAGGCAAACCTTTACTCACAGCCTTAAATATCTAATATGTAGCTGGTAAATCTCATACTTTTAAAATCTGCTTATGATTAGTTCCGTGCTTTTTAAGCGCTTCAGTATGTTGGGCTTTCCTCCTCAGTATTACCAGCAGTGTCGGGTGCACAGTCCGAGTCCTTGATGGGATTCGAAGGGTATGTATGACTGACCCTCCCTCCCACTGGGCGGCGAAAATGGTAGCAGCTGGATGGAGACTTTTGCAGCATCGTATTCTTGTCCCTTCAGGACATCAAAGGTGTTCATTTTGAGCCACCGCTGTCTGCTTGCTAGGAACTAGAGTGAATGTGGACTTTGAGTCTCTCCTGGAGGTCACCATTCAGACGTGGTGCTTGAGCAGGCTGGGGCTTTGGCCATCTGGCGCTGTGCTTAAAATGTGTTTGCTTTGGGCTGAGAAGCCAGGCCTCTCAGTCCACCTTGTTTACCGAAGTTGTGACCTGTTCTCTGTTCACATGAATAATCAAATCAAACTGCAGAAAATAGATGGAACAATTATAATGGTAAAGCTAATTAACTAAATGGCTTGAACACTGGACACATGGTATCAGCTTTTTTTTTTTTTTTTCCTTTAACCATGTTTGTTGCTCAGTTTCTTTGCTTTTTGTTGCTAAGCAAATGTTGCTTCCTTGTAATAGTAATGCCACTGCTAACGTTTTGCTTGGCGTGGCAACGTGGCCTTTTGTGTTTTGGTTTGGATCTTTTTAATCTGTTTTTGGTCTTTTTCTTCTTCATCCTCCGCTTTGACATTTTTCTCTGAAATGGTAGGGCTGACTGACATGAAAATTTTGTTTATGATATTTTTTGAAGAGTTAAGAATTCCAGTTTTGGCAATATTGACTGATTTAATTTTAGATAGTGGAAAATTGGGCATCAATAGTTAAATGGCTTTATATATATACATATGCATGCACACACAGTGGTACCTCAGAACTAATTTAATCCGTTGAGAACTGCGGATCGAATCCTAAAAAGTTCGAGTTGTGATCGAATTTTCCCCTTAAGAAATAATAAAAACCAATTAATTGGTTCCTGGCCCCCCAAAAAATTACACCTAAATATGTTTTTTTTTTAAGCATTTAAAAACAAAATGAACCGGATAAAACAAGAAGAGCATATACTGTACTAAACACATCTAAGCACATTTATCAAAACAGTAATTTGTAAAGTAAGAAAATAAATGTATCCTAACAATGTGTAAAGTTAAAAAAAAACCAATGTGTCCTGCCCCAATCGTCTGCTCCTTCTGTGTGCCACACCCCCTCGTTAACCCCGTGTGGAATCCCCGTGTGATCAGCTGTTTCTGGTGGTTGTCATTAGTCCTCTGTATTTCGTCCGCGTTTCAGTTTGTTTCCCTAGTCCGGTCACTGTATTGTCCATCTGCGTTTTGCCTGCTTTACCTGTAATTAAACCCCATATTCCCCGATATCCTGACGTCTGCGCCTTTGTCTCCATCCCGTCCCCGACCGGCACGACAATATTATTATAATTAAATGTATTAATGGTTTATATTAAATATTAAATTTTAAAATGTATTTTATTATATAATAATTATTGTTACTGTCTGTCATTGTCTAAGTGTATTTTTACTGTCTAAATATATGTATTCAGCTAGTGTAAACATGCACGATGCTATCACAGGGAATGTGAGACAGAGACTGAAGCGTTACCCTTTGTTTCCGCTGAGAGACATGACTCATTTCCCCGCGTGTAAAAGTTATCTTAGGTTGGCGTTCACGGTTTGACTTCTGAGATTCAGATCGAGCTCTAGGTAATTTTTTTTCTAACTGGATGGTTCGACTTTTAAGAAATTCTAGTTATGAGTTTGAGAACTGAGGTACACCTGTGTGTGTGTGTGTGTGTGTGTGTGTGTGTGTGTGTGAGAATATATATGTGTGTGTGTATTTATAAAAACAAGCCTCGATTTTGACTATAACTTTTACCATTTTGACCTCCCAGTTTTGTCCTCGGAAACACGAGCAAATTTACAGTATATTGTCTGTTTCATTTAACAAAAGCACCTCGAAATGAACTGTGTTCACACACACAGAGTAAAAATAAATTTTGGTCCTAAAGTTTTCACATGGTATAATATAATATTTCCACTCTCAGTCCATCGGTTACAGCTCTATTTTATATATGACTTTGTTTTTGATTAAGACAGGGCTGGCCAGTCTTAACCAGAAAGGGCTGCTCTGCGTGTGGGTTTTCGCTGCAACTCCCTAATTAGATTACTAATTAGACTAGAGGACTGATTGGCTGAAGAGTCCTCACACCTGAGTGAACAGCTGACCTAAAGGTTATCCCAAAAACCTGCATCCACCCATTAGAGAAAGGACATGGGATACATTCTTTTTTATCTCTTTTTGTTCCTGTTTTCGTCTGTCCACTGTAATTAAAATTAATAGCAAAAAGAATGTTCTAAGCGTGCACCAAATGCTATATTGACTTGCTTGTAATGGACATGCAATTGTCACATTTCATGGACTGCAATAATCAGTTGGGTTAAGACAATAAGTTACCATCAGTGTCAAGACTTGTGGTTTAAATCTCATGGGTTATCGTAGGGCTGTGTGATAAAACGATAATTATCACAATATAATTATATGATTTCCCTCTATCAATATGGCAGATGCTTGCAAAAAGTTCAACAATAATTTAACATCCAACGTCTCGCCGTTGACACATTTTGTGTCACGATAAAATGACGTCACTCTCACCGTGACAGCTGTCAGGACCAGCGATTGAACACAAATGCAGACACGGCCGTAAAACCACAAATGAGGGATTTATTGAACAAATAAGAATGTGATAAGACAGGTAGGCAGACAAAAGACAACACAGTGAAAACAGCAGGGCAGCTCACCAGCAGAGCAGGTAAGTCCAAAGCAACCCGTCCAATAAGGGTAATGCAGCGAAATGCAAAATGAAAGTTCACAGCAATATTCAGTCTATGAAAAATCCACATAGTAATAATCCATAGAGAATCTGGAAATGTTAGGAAAAATGCAAGTGGTGGCGTTTTGTCAACACTGACGAAAATAACCTGTTCAACTTCTACTTCCAATTTCTAAAATGTCAAATTCTGTTTGGCATGTTCTGATGATGAAAAACACTTTAAAACCAAAATTAAGTATCTGGCAACTTTCACTCAGGAACAAAAATGACTTGACATCTGTTGTGATAATCATCGATATGCACTGATATGACAATTTTTATTATGATACGATTTTTGGCTATGTCGCCCAATCCTTGTTGGCAAGTTCATTGAGTCGACTGTGACGGCTGTTTTAATCAAATTAAAAAAAAAAAAAATTCTTCACCATTTTCACTGCAGCTAGGTTGAGTTTGCTAAAGGATTTTTATTCTCTCATAGGATATAAAACTGAACAAGCTTTGCAGTTTTAATGATGGTCCCTTTTCAAGATTATATATGTTAAAAAGCAGTCTAACATTTGCCGTGGCTACTTTTGCATGAGCTCTGCCTGTGGTCTCCGAGATGATCATTGTCATTCTTGTGCTTTCCTTTGAACTCACTCATAGTCAGGGTTTGTGAGACATGTAACAAAAATGAGTGATGAGGAGAAAAGTGAACTAGAACTGGTCATCAAAAGACATTTGAAATATTTCCAAAGTCTATGGAAATATTTTGCATTCCATAGAAATTATATTGAACAAAAGAAAGTGATTTGTTAGCACTGTTTTACGTCTGTTGGCACAACTTGTGGAAACACCATTTTATAGCTCTGTTGGTTGATAACTTTTATTCGCCTGTAGTTTATTTTGAGTACATTTTCAAGTCCTTTTTGTATAGAGGTATAAATATTGCAATATTTATCACAAAAATATTTTCTCCTGTGAAAGAGCTCCTGTTTTATCATTAGTGTTTACCGACACATTATTGGTGTTCTATTGGTAAGTTTTCTATTGATCCTGATAACGTTTTGGAACCTTGATATTGGCCAGTTTTAATCGCTGATCAATGTATCGATGAGCCCCAGTAAACTGGCTTACCGATATATTTGACCAGCCATTAAAACTTGCCAGTATCAAGGTTCCATAAATTTATCAGGATCAGTAGAAAAGGAGCTCAAGTCCTGTAACTGTGGTTGTAATTATTAACCAGAATCAGTAGAATCACTGGGCAAATAAACTGTGGCAAAGTGTAATGCTCTCTGAACTGGGAACTTTTAGCTCTGCTGCTTGAGATGCTGGCCAGCTATCAGACTTTATATAATGTCATGTCCGTTGTGAAATGAGCTCAACTAGTATCTTCTAAGAAATGAATGGTTTTTGAAGCAGATTTGTGGTCTGGTGTGTACCTTTGGTATGTTGCGAGCATATTTAGTTTAATATGCATGGTGTTTTGATGTAGTATTGCATTAGATATATTTTTGACGCTGATGAATTAACAGGTGCTCTTGTTAATGGTCTATTTTCTCTGTAGGGATTGCAGATGCCTCATTAATAACATGATGCAGTAATACCTGTGAATTATAAGTTGTCTTGTTTGCCAGAGGGGATGAACAGTACCCCATAAATAATTAAAGATACACAGTCATGTTAAACCGAAAATACATTTTCATCATAGAGAATGTTTACTTGTCACACTGTCCTCTTTCGCAAATCGCCTGTTTGGGTTTGACGTAACTCAGCTGCATTTGCCAAACTTGACAAAACTGAAAGACATGTCACTTGGCATCTGGTCTTATATAGTTTGTAGCACAGTGCGAGTACCCTTTGGTAAAAGAAAACTTCAGAGTAGGAAGACCCACTTTACCCTGAATTAAGCACTGCCGTGCCTGCTTTGACACTTGTGTTTTGGGACAGGCCTTTTGGTGCCCTGTACCAGATAAGTAGTGATGGATAGGTGAAGGGGTAAGATGCAGTGGATTATATGGTACTGAGAATGTTATGCATAATTATTTAATTTATTTGTATTGCAGGGTTTTATCAGGGAAGTAGTGCCAACTTTACCAACTTTAAAGAAGTTATGGCAGATTGGCAGTTATGTCCTGATTACGACACTAATGCTGCGTTGTATCTCACAGTGGGCGCGGACTTTGGTCAGGAGACCATTGAGAGTGCTGCAGTCTTTCTCTTCAAGATTTTCTACAATAAGGACCAGGTGGGCCATGAAGAAACCAGGGCCATCAGGCAAATGTTTGGCCCCTTCCCCTCCTCTGCAGCCGGAGCATCCTGCGCAGCCATTGGGGGGCTCGCGGCGCTTGTCGACGAGACCAAGCTGGAGACGTTTGTGTTGGCGCACAGCTCCAACGCCACCTCTGGCTGCATTCCTTTTGGACGCAACATCAGCTTCTGCTTTGACAGCTACGCCCTGGATTACCTAGAAGGTCTGCCATGGGACAGCCTGGAAGAAGACGACACCAGCTTGGACTTCGGCAAGTTCCTCACTAGCCAAGCACGGCAGAACGGGACTGTCGATTGTGCCGTCGAAGGTGCCTCGGGCCACGGTGCCGCTCCTGCCGGTGCCGGGGCTGTCCTCCAACAGGAGGTGGAGCGCTTTCTGGCCCAGGGGCACATGAGCCAGTCGAGCCCCGAGGAGCTCTGCTCATCACTGTTCGAGATGCTGGCGTCACAGAAGACGGACGACGAACTGCAGAATGAGGTGGGTTCAGACTCTTTCCCTGAATATACTTCCGTTTGCAGTCTGCATGGCTGGTTTATTACAAGCCGACATGGGCTTTCTTGGAGTCTGCTCACTGATGGGATTTCTTTAAATCTTATTTGATAGTCCTTTTTGGGGTGTGTTCAACAGACAACAACACTGCTGTTTTTTTAATATGTATTCTTCCAGAGGTGGATATTTCAGGTCCAGAAGGAAATCCAGACTGAGATTTTGTTTTAACCATCTAGCTGAATATAAAGAGTCACACTCTTTAGTAAATTAGTTGGTTGAAACAAATTTTTGGTCTGGATTTTCAGTTTCTGGATCTGGACTATCCACCTCTGTACTCTTCTCTGGCTTTTGGTGTATAGGTTCATTTGTGCTTAATTATAGACTAATGACTTGCTGTCTAAATAATTGCCACTGTAATGTGATTGCTGAAACCATCCTAATGATAGTTATCCGACCTTGCTTACTAGTCTGCCCCGGGCTGAACGTGCTTTACTCAGGATAGGCTGAAGTCATGTTTCTCAATACATCTTTGACCTTTTCTGAGAAGGGGGTCCTCTCTGTAGGTGATTGCACAGCCGTAGAATGTTAAACCTGAGGTGAGGATGAAGGGAATCCTGTTGGAAAAGGTCACTGTGGCCTCTTCTGTTGGTGAAAACTTAGGTAACATTTATGGCTGCACAGCATTAGAATTTGCCTGCTTTATATAAAGTTTTCTTATAGTAATTTCTATTACTTTTAGAGATACCATTGTAGAATGCTGGGTGGGGGGGTACTCAAAATTTGATGCATTTTATCTGTCTACACTACAGTAACTGTCATCTGAACCAAAGAGCATTTATTTTGATTTTATAGGTAACTCATTTCACTTTGAGATGTACTTTTATTGTGTACATCAAAGCGTCAAACTTTGCAGCTGCGAGAATTTCTAGTGGACACTTTTCCCATAATTTGGTGTCCTCCGTAGTTTTCATTCTCGATGAGTACTTGGGATGTAAAAAAAGTGTTTTCCGTTATGTGTCGTTATCTAAATAACACAACGTAGGGATGTTGTTTTTAAAAACATAATGATGCCGATAAACAGATGATAATCTGGAATGCACGCTGTGGTTGTTGACATTGAGATCAGAGAAATACCGACAATTTGCATAAATTGTGCATACATTTTAGAGTGAAATTTTTCACAAAACTTAGTGCAGGTTTTCTGTTCGTGGGAGGTAATGGACTGTTTGACACACATGAGATATCGTCTGCCGCTTCGTCTTTTGTGTAAAATTCCTTTTAGATGCAATTATTTTATCAGAACAACCTGAATCTGAGTTTTTAGAACCAGGAAATGCTTTATTGCTGGCGATACAGCAAAACCTAATGCAAGAAAACAAGAAATGATTGTCTGGAGGTGGGCAATCTAATGCAGAAAGGGCCACTGTCTGTACATTAGATTACTAATTAGAGGACTGATCAGCTGAAGAGTCCTCACATCTGGGTTTGAACAGCTGACCTAAAGATTATCCCAAAACTTGCATACACATCGGCGCTTTGCGAATAAGATTGGCCACCCCTGACTTTACTACCTTCAGTTATGTGGTTACATTGACAGTCAGTAGATTTAGGCTTTTACCTATTTTCAGTTAATCTGAGTAACTACCCCTTACCCATACTTACAAAATAACAAAAACCTCACCATTTGAATGAATGGGAGAAGGTTATTTTTTTAGATTAAAATTCTAATCAGTTAATCACGTACCCTAACCCTGCAACACTGTGCAGCTTATGCACAAATTTTGTCATTTGATGATATGGCTGTTTTGTTTTATAATGAAATTTATTTGCCTTTTGTACATTGGAATTCTTTCGTTTTCACACATCCCATCTCGGCCTTTTTGGGCACACGCACAGGTGAGAGTAAAGTGAGGACTCCGCGTGCGTGGGTCCGAGCGCCGGGTCCGAGCGCCGGGTCCGAGTGCGGGGTCAGCCATTCAACCAGCAGCCCTGGGACAATTTTCCGAGTCTTTAAGCCAAAATTTTCTTCTAATTTGAAGGAATTTTTAAAACCCCATTAATGCTTTACATGATGGAGAGAAATATAGATGCTCCTCAAGTTGTGCAAATAGACTTTTCTTTAACCACTTACGTAAGGTCAGTAAAGGTAATGCATGTGGCGTTCCCCTTCCGCCCACCAATCAACACTGCAGAGCCTAATTCTAACCTTTGCCTTGCCTACCCTAGCCTGGTCTCAACATGAATGCAGGTATATAAAAAAATCACTTAATCGTAAATGTCAGACATTAAATAGTGCAATATGACATAGGCCTAATCCGTGAAATTAATTCTTTACATTTGTATAAAGCACTACACTAAGTACACTGTGTGCAGAATTATTAGGCAAGTACAGTTGTTGGAGATAATTTTTTAGCAAATGTTGGGCAGACTTCAGTGAATTCAGAAGTTTTCATTTGCCCAAAGTAAATTTATTTCAAGAGAAAATGTTACATTAGCCTGTCATAAACAAAAATAATACTTATCAGTGTGCGTAGACAATTTTTTTTTCTCTTCACCGTCAACAGAAATAATAATAAAAAAAAACATATTCAGTTATTCAGTGTATATATGGAATAACCAACTGCCATTCTGTACAGTTCATTTTACAAAGTTTAACGTCCTGTACAGCCACCTTTCGGGCCAACAAGAGTCTGTTGTCCATTGAACCAGTTAAGTTTTTAATTTGATCCCATCCTATATTAGCTGAGCATCTTGGACCGCCTCCCAGACGCTGCTCTGAGAAGGGTACTGCTTGCTGCCTTGGTAAATCTCATACTTCAGTAAGGTCCAGTAGTTCTCAATGGGGGTAAAGTCAGGCGATGAAGGTCAAAATTCAATCACCTTTCAAGCCTTTCTTGGCCAATCTATGGAATACTTTGATGCAAGGGAAGGGGCATTGTCCAGTTTGAATATCATAACCTTTTTAAAAGCTGCTGACTACTTCTTGAACAAATGTTTGAAGAAGATATCTTCTAGAAATTGGCAGTAGATCTTGTATTCCTGTCTTTTTACGCGATAGTCTAACAAGTTGATCACTGATAACTGCAGCCCACATCATCACTCCTCCACCACCTTTGGCGCTTGGAGAAGGTGTCCATCCACTGGCCCATTCATCTGCTCCATCAGGAGTCACTCTCATCTTATCTCTCCATAAAATCTTTGTAAAATCAGCCTTGATTTATCTCTGCCCATTCATGTTTTAGCTTGTGTACCTTACTGAGTTGAGGTTTTGTTTCAACCTTTGTGTCCTTAGCAATGTTGCGCAGCACACTGCACCTATAATTCCAGAGATTCCATTCAGATTGCAGTTTTGAAAAATGGTGGCATTTCATGCTGAGGAGTTTCTGTATGTCTCCTCTTTAATTTGACATAAATCTTTGGCAGTTAATTTGTGTCTCCTGTCTGCCCATTTAAAAATTATTAATACTGTAATTTGATTAATTCTGAACAGGAAAGTGTTTAAAGTGTCCTATTTTACTCCAAACAGAATGTATTCAGATCAAATATTAGCATGCTTTGTTTTTAAACAGTCCATTCTTAATTGGAGATTAACCTGGACTAGGGCTGTCGCGATCACGTCATGATGTAATCGCAATTATATCACGCATGCGGTGCAATCATCGCCAGGGCTTTAGATGACGGGTGCAACATTTGTGCGGACGCCGGCTTTTCAGTACAATGCAGACGTTTTCATGCGGCCTGAAATATGTTCCTGAAATATTAATGAGATGAGTATTGTGACACCCAGAAGTTAGTGATCTGTATAAATTTGCCGTATCCTTATGTTTAATAAACGTGTGGGACGTTACACTGCAAAAAGTACCACCACGCCAACAAGATCTTTTTACCTCATTTATCCATAATATGTCCTCTTTCAATAGACGATGTAGCGGTTGAGCTGTTCTTTCCTTCAGTGCCACGTCAGTGCTTCCATGATTTACTAAAGCAAAGGTCTGGCATGAATTTAATAAGCATAAGGAGATGCTGAATTTATAGAACTCCTGACTTTTGGGCATCACAATATGCCTCTCATTGAAATCTTAGATGCACTACTAATCTGCTTACTAAATTGTGGGCGTTAAGTAAACGTCGGTAAAGTACCGAAAAGCCAGTGTCTGGACAAATGTTTCACCTGTCATCTAAAGCCCTGGTGATTATCGCGCATGAGCCATATAATCGCGATTACATTGTGACTTGATCGCGACAGCCATGGTCCAGGTTAATCTCCAATTTAGAATGAACTGTTTCAGATGTGTTGCGTAAGTGCTTTTCGTACACGGTGTGTATGGAGGGATTTTTCACGCAGATTTACGTGCGTTTGTCTGTGGGCTTGATAAGCAGTTCCTTTAAAGTGGAGTGAAGTGTGTAGTTTTACTGTGATTCAGCTCTTAAGTCTCATTCCCCCAGGAATAAATATTTGGAGGCTGAAAAACTGGGAAATGAATAGTGTGCATCTAAAAATATAGGTAGATTAAGAAATGTATTATTAAATGGTCAAACCGCTAATTTGGCAGCCTTTTTAATGCTACTGTCACCACTGCTTGTTAGGTTGAACCGAAACGATAAAGTATAGCAGCAGGAAAGGCTATTTTTTTTTTAGCTGATTTGTTCACTAAATATTGAGCACAAGCAAAATGTTTTGCAGCTGAAACAGCCATCGGGTTCCGCATGGGAAAGACTTTGTCACCTGGGAAGGACTCTAATCTGATGGGTGATATGCATTTAATCGTAATTCTCTCTCAATGTCAAAGCCAAGCTCACTGTGCAGTTTTAATATAACTCAAAAGCTGGCCATTTGTTTTATTAGAGTTGTGTCCCTTGGGGGCTGTTCTGAAGGGCTCATGAACTTAAAAATGAGATGCTGGGGAGCAGGTGTGCTGTCTCAAGCATGTTTAGCTCCACAGCTGGATGGAACCCGCTTTGGACGTGGTGGTCTCGGCTCGGTCGCT